GTGAACCCTTCAACTTTGGCCAAGGAGTCTACGTTTGGATGTGAGTGGAAGCATGCAGAATTACTTTGCAAGTCTGTTTGCTAAAGCAGAGAGGTCATTCTCAAACATCCTAAAAGGACTGCCTGGCAGTGGTGGGATTTAAACCCACGCCCCGAAGAGACTGGAGCCTTAGTCCAGCACCTTAGACCGCTCGGCCACGCTACCTTGCTGAGCTGCTTTCCCTGAGCAGTTTTCGCACCAACTTGTTTCAAGGAGTGCAACAGCGCTGGAAAATCAGTTGAAATTGGCCATGCATTGCTGGAGCTCCTCCACAAAGAAAGAGAGCTGCTTAATACCAGCTTAGAAAGCACTCCCACCTTCCTGTCAACCACAGTACTGTCTCTATTAGAGCACACCTTAAGGCATTTGAAGTCTACTCCAAACGGCAGTCAGCTGCGATGCATTTAAGCACCTGATTACAAGGTAACTGTTATTTCACAAAAGAGTGAGTTACTGATTCCATCACAGCAGACCCCATATTGTTGTTATTATATTCAAATCCAGTTATAGAGTATTACTACTCTAATTGTGAATCTTTACTGTTCCTGTTTCAATAGGGTGCTCTTGCTAAAAGGAGCAATGGCAGAGAGAGACTTCAAAATGCTGCAATCTAATCGTGGGAAAGACACTTGCTCCTGAGCAGATTCGAGCTTGGGGTTGTGTTGCTGTCACACCAACGAGTCTGCCTTGAGTTTCAAAGAACACATTATACTGACTAGTTGCCAACTTAAATGTACGCTCTCATTTCCAGCGTTCACTGAGAACGCGCACGCACTCAAGCAGTTTGTCCATGTTTAAAACCACAGCTGGCAGCGGTGGGATTCGAACCCACGCCTCCAAAGAGACTGGAGCCTAAATCCAGCGCCTTAGACCCCTCGGCCACACTACCCTAGATGTATCCATGCAGTAGTCCATTTTTTTGCCCAATTTTACGGAAGCAGAAAAGCAGAGAAGACGCAGAGCTTCCTAGTGAAGCCCTTAAACTTTGGCCAAGGAGTCTACATTTGGATGTGCGCTGAAGCGTGCAGTATCACTTTGCAAGTGTGTTTGCTCAAGCAGAGAGGTCATTCTCAAGCATCCTAAAAGGACTCCCTGGCAGCGGATGGGATTCGAACCCACACCCACAAAGAGACTGAAGCCTAAATCCAGCGCTTTAGATCCCTTGGCTACGCTATCCCAGATGACTCCATGCAGTGGTCCCTTTTCTGCCCAATTTTACGGAAGCAGAGAGGACGCCGAGCTTCCTAGTGAAGCCCTTCAACTTTGGCCAAGGAGTCTACGTTTGGATGTGAGTGGAAGCATGCAGAATTACTTTGCAAGTCTGTTTGCTAAAGCAGAGAGGTCATTCTCAAACATCCTAAAAGGACTGCCTGGCAGTGGTGGGATTTAAACCCACGCCCCCGAAGAGACTGGAGCCTTAATCCAGCACCTTAGACCACTCGGCCACGCTACCTTGCTGAGCTGCTTTCCCTGAGCAGTTTTCGCACCAACTTGTTTCAAGGAGTGCAACAGCGCTGGGAAATCAGTTGAAATTGGCCATGCATTGCTGGAGCTCCTCCACAAAGAAAGAGAGCGTCTTAATATCAGCTTAGGAAGCTCTCCCACCTTCCTGTCAACCACAGTACTGTCTCTATTTGAGCACATCTCAAGGCATTTGAAGTCTACGTTTGGATGTGAGCTGAAGCGTGCAGAATCACTTTGCAAGTCTGTTTGCTCAAGCAGAGAGGTCATTCTCAAGCATCCTAAAACGATTGCCTGGCAGCGGTGGGATTCGAACCCACGCCCCCGAAGAGACTGGAGCCTTAATCCAGCGCCTTAGACCGCTCAGCCATGCTATCTTGCCAAGCTGTTTTCCATGAGCAGTTTTCACACCAACTTGTTTCAAGAAGCGCAACAGCGCTGGGAAATCAGTTGAATTTGGCCATGCATTGCTGGAGCTCCTCCACAAAGAAAGAGAGCTGCTTAATACCAGCTTAGGAAGCACTCCCACCTTCCTCTCAACCACAGTACTGTCTCTATTAGAGCACACCTTAAGGCATTTGAAGTCTACTCCAAACGGCAGTCAGCTGCGATGCATTTAAGCACCTGATTACAAGGTAACTGTTATTTCACAAAAGAGTGAGTTACTGATTCCATCACAGCAGACCCCATATTGTTGTTATTATATTCAAATCCAGTTATAGAGTATTACTACTCTAATTGTGAATCTTTACTGTTCCTGTTTCAATAGGGTGCTCTTGCTAAAAGGAGCAATGGCAGAGAGAGACTTCAAAATGCTGCAATCTAATCGTGGGAAATACACTTGCTCCTGAGCAGATTCGAGCTTGGGGATGTGTTGCTGTCACACCAACGAGTCTGCCTTGAGTTTCAAAGAACACATTATACTGACTAGTTGCCAACTTAAATGTACGCTCTCATTTCCAGCGTTCACTGAGAACGCGCACACACTCAAGCAGTTTGTCCATGTTTAAAACCACAGCTGGCAGCGGTGGGATTCGAACCCACGCCTCCAAAGAGACTGGAGCCTAAATCCAGCGCCTTAGACCCCTCGGCCACACTACCCTAGATGTATCCATGCAGTAGTCCATTTTCTGCCCAATTTTACGGAAGCAGAACAGCAGAGAAGACGCAGAGCTTCCTAGTGAAGCCCTTAAACTTTGGCCAAGGAGTCTACATTTGGATGTGAGCTGAAGCGTGCAGTATCACTTTGCAAGTGTGTTTGCTCAAGCAGAGAGGTCATTCTCAAGCATCCTAAAAGGACTGCCTGGCAGCGGATGGGATTCGAACCCACACCCACAAAGAGACTGAAGCCTAAATCCAGCGCTTTAGATCCCTTGGCTACGCTATCCCAGATGACTCCATGCAGTGGTCCCTTTTCTGCCCAATTTTACGGAAGCAGAGAGGACGCCGAGCTTCCTAGTGAAGCCCTTCAACTTTGGCCAAGGAGTCTACGTTTGGATGTGAGTGGAAGCATGCAGAATTACTTTGCAAGTCTGTTTGCTCAAGCAGAGAGGTCATTCTCAAGCATCCTAAAAGGACTGCCTGGCAGCAGATGGGATTCGAACCCACGCCCCCGAAGAGACTGGAGCCTTAATCCAGCGCCTTAGACCGCTCGGCCACGCTACCTTGCCAAGCTGCTTTCCCTGAGCAGCAACTTGTTTCAAGTAGCGCAACAGCGCTGGGAAATCAGTTGAATGCATTGCTGGAGCTCCTCCACAAAGAAAGAGAGCTGCTTAATACCAGCTTAGGAAGCACTCCCACCTTCCTGTCAACCACAGTACTGTCTCTATTTGAGCACACCTCAAGGCATTTGAAGTCTACTCCATACGGCAGCCAGCTGCGATACATTTAAGCACCTGATTACAAGGTAACTGTTAATGTTTTAGTGTGTTGTATTTCAAATTTGAATACTTTAATTCAAAACCTTTTATTTATAGGAGCAAAAATGTCTGAAAAATCTCATAAAGCTATGTCAGACGCTGACTGGATTTCACGTCTGAAAAAGTTTGCAAGCACAGGAGTTTGGCCATCAAATGAGGGCAACAGGCCAGCTCCTCAACAAAGAAAGTGGCAAGAGATTTATCAAAGGGTGTGTATTTCGTTTACATGATATAACGTTTGTTGAAATTTGCTTAACAGAGTTACGTTAACTTGTTAGGCTTCAGTACATTCAGTAAAGTATCTGTGTAAAATATGTCATACTTGTTTTTAAATATTAAAGTGTTTTAAATTTCATGTATTTTGAGATTTACGTCGAATAATTTAGTAAGTTTGACCGTTTATGAAAGAGATCTGAAAAGGTGGGGGAATGAATTATGAGTGTAGAGTACACAGCATGTGGTTTTAAGGCCTGAAATGTTCCTGTCCAGTTCCTCTTATTCTTCTTTTCGTTTTTAGAGATACAAACTGTACAATTACATAATAAATAAATATTGCACACCCTAAAAACAGTGATAAATTAATTTACAGAGCTATTGTGTGCTTCATTAAGGGAGTCATTGAGTTAAAATTCTTGTTTAGTTATAAAAGTTTTTTGTATTGTGTAAAATTATTTATTATATTTTTCATGATTTTTTCAGATTGAGAAATGTCCATTGCAATCTCGTGGGCAGAGGACCTTGCTTGAAGATGTGCTGAAATGCACATGTGGTTTTCACACTCAAAAGGTACATTTTTGAGTCAATATGTGTTTATTTTTATTTACTAGAATGGCTGTCCTTTTTATGATTATATGTATTTTTGTGATTATTTTTAGCAGAGTACTGCTTCTGCTGCTCCTGCACAAATGGTGCAACAACCTGCCCCTACTGTACCTGCTCAGGAGGTGATGGAGACGAGACAACTTGAGGCCCAGCCCCCATCTACTCCACCAGTGGCATCAAAAATTTCACCGCAATTGTCAATGGTACATTTTTTTAAAAATCAAAAGAAATGACAATTTCAGTGTTTCAAGTGTTCAAGGTGTTCAAAGTTCAGTTCAAAGTTCAAACATAGGAGAGAAAAGAACAAAAAGCAATGAAAAAGTTGAGGTGTTGCTAGAGACCTGCTTAAAATAAATTGAGTAAATTAGTTTAAATTAGGTGGTAGTTTCTAATTGCTTAAAATGTAATGTGATATACACTAATGTTCAAAAAAATTATTATTGTTAAAATATAAAAGCTTTATATTAATCATATATAACAAGAATTCTATTGTGTTTGATTTGCTCATAAATTAAATCGATTTTATTTGATTTGAATTGTTTGAATAAATTATTCTTTATTTATTTAATTTGCCTATATTATTATTTCACATTATTCCAGTTTTTACTAAATATTAGATCAAATAAATGTAGCCTTGATAAACATATTTAAAACATTAAAAAAATACATTGAGCTGATCGCAAACCTTTGAACAGTAGTGTACATTTCGCCATTGTGAACACAGTGTTTTTAATTAAATGCTTTTTGTCTTGCCCTTTTTGAGTTCACCAAACCAAGATTTTCCAGATCCCACATTGCTGCAGCAAAGCCAAATCTTAGTGTGGCTAGAATACCATCACAGGTTGACGTTCAGCCCAGTTCAGCAGTGTGTAGTGCTTCTACACCAAGCACGGCTGTAAGTATTGTCATAATCCACATAGCTTTCTTAGAGAATTAGGTATAAGCATTTTTTTTATACGTAAATTCGTATTTTTGTTAAGTACAGTCACATTAAATCTCAATAAAACATCTCTGTAGTATTCTTTTAGTGCATAAAAACATATATATTAAAAATAAGCACCATTCTTTAAACTTTTTGTTCTGCATAGAAGCGCTGTGACAAAATTTTACAGTTTAGCAGCAATCATTCATTCCCAATGTATTTTATACATTAATGTTCAAATAAAGTAATGGTTGCAAAAAATTCTGATTAGTTAATGTTACTTATAGATATATATTTACAAAATGCACTTTGTTATACTGCTTGTTTGTACAGACACAGGACCTTCAAGTTTCTGCCCCCGTCCTCACATCCACTACGGCAGTGACCAGTTCCACAGAGCCGTCCGGCATTGTCTCAGTAAGTCATTTCATATTTTCTGTCCAAAAAAAGGTAATTTGGTTTGCATATTTGCTGCCCCAGCTGAATTCACACAAAGTGGTTTTAAGACCAGCCAATTAAATTGACTTGATGTTAATTATCTAAGCTTGATATATGTATAAATGTTAACAAAATAAAGAGAGGAAAAAATAAAGCAAAGAATCACAAAAATTATGCCTTCTGTTGTTGATATTTTATGTTCACAGTAGTAAAAGAAAAGAAAATGGATGGAAAAGAAGTAGAAAAGAAGAGAAATAACTATATTGGAAAATACTTTTGCTTCTTTAAAGAAAATGTTTATTGGTGAAATTCTATTTATGATTTTTGGAATTGAAAAACATAATAAGGTATTTAAAAACAATCACTTAAAATCAAAGGTATTTAGATTATAATCATGATAACATCATGTAAGGGTACTCACTCAAATATGTAAGGTGCATTTACATTACCAGACTAAAGGTTTTATCTATTTTCCTTCACAGACTGCACCTTCTGGGTCATTGTTGCAAGCTCCATCAGCTGTTCCACTTCCGCGCCTTTGGGCTGAAACCTTGCCACCAGAGGACCACAAGTGGATTGCCAGCAGGCTTTTTAAAATGGGGTCCAAAGGAAAGCCAGAGCTTCGAGACAACCTCCAGCTCTGGTATTACCCTCCACAGCCTGCACTTACATACAATCAGGCTCCAGCTCCAGACAGATTTTTCTGTCATTCACTTTTGCTGTGGATGCCATACAAGCTGTGGAGGGTCAAAGTCCTTTGCCCTAATCCTGCATGTGGACAGCATCAGCTGACAGGTGGAGGTCTGCACAAAAGGGCACGGCAGGTTCTGGACATCGACAGGATGTACAACATGGTTACAGAAACCCTCATCTGTACCAAGTGTAAAGCCTCGCATGTGTCCTGGAGTCAGACTGTCTTGCAGCAGCTGGATCTTGGCCATCGCTCAGAGTTTCGGGTCATTCTCACACAGAAGTGAGTAATTGAACACCTTTATTCCTCGTGCAGTTGTTAACCTATCATCACAGATATATGAAAATACTTTACAAATATATATATATATATATATATATATATATATATATATATATATATATATATATATATATATATATATATGTTTATATTAATATTCTTCTGTTCCTAAGGTACGCCTGTGATATAAGAGTCATTCGCCTACTGCGTGAGCGTGGACTAGGCACCAGCCCCACAAGGGTCATCAAACAACTGAAGGAAAACCACAGTGAAGAGTGGCTCCAGCGTCTAGCCCGCTACACCACTCAGTGTGTGGATTTCCTCAGTGGACCTGGGGTGTTGCCGATCACCTTCCAGGAGCCCCCAGCACCTACAGTTGTGCCAAGCTGCAAGTGGCTCCTCACTGTCTACAGCCAGGACATCTTGACAAGGTTGAATGAAATCCATGCCAGGATAACATCGACCCATGGGTCCATCTTGAAGATGGATTCAACTAAAAAGGTTAGTGGATATTCATCAATTTATAATTTCTTTATTATATTCCAGCATTGGTAAAAACCCTTTGTGTAGTCTGCTTGATCTGACGATACACCATGGTTCTTCTCTTGTCTAATCTAGATCACAAAAAAGCTGGCCGGGACAGCAAAAGGAACAGGACTCTGGCTCACCTCTGTTGGCAATGAGTTTGGTCAGGTGCTGATAAGTGTGTTCACTGCCCAGGAAGGAGCAGGACTGGACAGGATGGTGGATGGGCTGGTCAGAAGATACCAGGAGGCTGGTGTGGATCCACCTGCTGTTTTGTATGTGGACTGTGGGTGCTGCACTGATGTGGGTGAGACCAAACTCAAAGCCAGGTTTAGAGGATGGCCGGAGTTGACTGTGAAATTGGACATCTGGCACTTTATGAGCAGGATTGCCGTGGGATGTACAACTGATGCTCATCAACTGTATCCCATCTTCATGTCACGGATCTCTGCGTGCATTTTTGAATGGGATGCGGCTGATGTTTCTTTGCTACGCCAAGCAAAGCGAGCACTGTTGATGTCCCAAGGTTGGCCTGCGTTGACAGATGCTGATGTCAACAAGCATCTCACCAGGGAGGAGCTGGCTCTCCATTGCCGGAGGAGGACCCGTGGGGAGGAGACTACTGAGCTCATGAGCAACAAGGGCAATGACAAGGGCGTTCCTCTTTTAGACAAGGAAAGGATGGAGCACATCTGGAGTGTCCAAAAAAAGCATATAAAATGCATTCAGGATCCCCCTGGTGTCGTGCTCTTTACTGAAACGGGGAGCATAACCAAGGGAGGTGTTCTGCTACGGACCTACAGATGTGCCAGGGGCTCCACGTCCTTCCATTTACACCTCAACCGTTTCATCCCAGGTATAATTCTGCACAAACATTGTGTAAAAACGCATTAAATGTCTTTGTGTGTTTGTTATTTTAATTATGTCCTAAACATTGTTTTTAATATTTACAGGGTCCAGCGCAAATAGTCTGAACTTTCAGATTTATTTGCTGGAGGGACTAAACAGGTGGAACCAGGACCGGGAGGCTGCTTCCTTGGCATCTGAACCATCAGCTTTACGCAGCTACACAGAAGAACTTGTTCACTGTGTAAGCTGCAACTTTGAAAAGCTGTTTGGGAGAAAAGTGGTGCCCAACTTTTGTCCGCCTAAACGTTACACAGAGATTTTGCTATTGTTAATAAACCTGCAATTTCTGTGTTCTCTCCATCTACTGTATCCAGTTTAATACAGTAGGTCAATGTTCATGAGCTTTGTGCTGTGAAATCTTTACTTGTCTTTAAATATTTGTATGAACAAATGTATTGTTTCATGACTATTTACTGAAGTAAAGCAAGATACAAAATTATTATTACATTATTATTACATGTCATTATCAAACATAATGCTACAAGCTTTGAGGGAAATTTATTTGTACATTTCTCTGTCTTTGTTGTATTTCCATTGCATTTCATTAGATGTTTTGTCCAGAATATTTATTATGTTTTGGATCTCTGTATAAAATGTATGTTTTTGTTTGTTTCTTCCTTGACGTTGAGCTTTTAAAACTACTTGCTACTTAAACACCCAATCAAACATGGCTCTTAAAATGTGTTTATTTATGTTTCATTTATTTTTTTCAGGTGAGCTCATTGGAGTGCAGTATCTGTTCCAGCAGACTGGTCAGGCACTGCAAAACATGAACCCAGACTGTGAGCAGACTGCTGAGCTCATTGAGGATCTCAATGTGGATGAGCGAGAAGAAGATGAGGGCTTCTGTGACATCAGTGAGGATCACACTATTGTTAATCCGGAGGCTGCTCTGTCACCATCCTCCTCCACATTGAGATCGGGTTCCTCCACTGCAGTCACCAGCAGTGTCGTCTCCACATGCCCTGCACTGGTCCCTGACCCACCTGCGCAGCCTGAAGAACCAATTTCACCTGTGCCCTTAGAGCCAGAAGAGGCTACGGAAGATGATAAGGAAGATAATGATGATGACGACGATGATGATGGTGATGAAGAGACTGTAAGTCCCACTAATTTCTGTCTTTACAATGATCTAGAATAATTTTAAAATAAAGTGTAACGTCAAACACGCATCAGGTTTATTTCCGTAGTGCAGCTTCAACATGATAACAGAATCAATTATGGAATAATGCATTGAACAATTTAATGTGCTATTTTTTTGTTGTTGTTGTGCTTTCATTAGGCTGTTGACTACCAAAATATTCCGGGCTTCCAGCATGTGGACAGGCTGGCTGAATATCTGGTTGAGCTCCGGACCCACAAAAGCCTCAGCCTCACCAACCAGGAGGCCAACGAGATTATTGGTCTTTGGCAAAGCCTGCATGACCAAGACAAGAAGCGGGTGGTGTATGCAGCTCGACACCAGAAGCGACTGCTGAGTGGGCGATTTAAAACACCCAAGAAGCCCACTCATACCCTTGGCGTGGAGAGCACTACCAGATGTGTGCTAGGTGCAAGCAGTGCTCCTGCTCAGTGGCCTGACTGTTGCCGTCTTGTGGAGACCATCTTTATTAGGCTTTGTACCATCCACCCTAGTCCCAAGCGAAAAGGCAAGGGAACCCTTTCAAGATGGTCTCTGATCCTGCAAGACTACCGCAGGATCAGGCAACTCGTACTGGGCAACAGCTTGGTAATGGGAGGTACATCCATGCAGCTGGTTGAGGTAAACCAGAATACCCTGATTCAGTGGTTTAATAACAGACAGAAGAAGCAGGAGCTGTCTGTGCTGCTTCAGGGTATTCAGTTGCCTCAACCCCTCCCAGAAGCCCAGGAACCTCTCCCAGTTGCCAAAAGTCTTGGGACAGAGCCAGACCAACCAGGAGAGCAGCACCAGTATGTGTTGCCAGAGACCACAGCAGGTCAGGCCAGGCAGAGGCAGACATCTGTTGGACAACCCCTACTCAGACCCAAGGCACCAGTAAAGACCCAGGTCATATTTACACCACCAGCACCTGGAGCATCGCTGCAGATGGTACCCAACATATACATCCCAGCTACACCAGGGTACCAGGGTATGCCAATGTTTCAGGGTGTACCAATGTTCCAGGCTGTGCCAATGGTCCAGGGAATTCCTATGGCCCAGGGTATCCCGATAATGCAGGGGATGCCACTCTGACAGCCACCACTTCAGCCAACAATGTCCAGAACCAGCTCACAGCCTGCTGCATCACCGTCCACATCTGGAGCCATTCCCAAAAGACCGTACCAGAGAACTGCTCAAGCGAACACTTGAAAAAGTGTGGGCAGTTCAAAAAAAATGCCACAGGCCATAGCCAACTCAGGGGCAGGGTGTACTGCCCACAGACTGAAACTTTAACTAAAGAAGAGTGACTAGAGGAAATGAAAAGGACCAATCCAAAATAACGTGTTTGTTTGTTTGTGTCTGTATATAGTGTAATAGTTCTTTAGTTTATTTAATTTCACTTGCTGTTAGTTTATATTTTTATTTCACATTTTCTTTATATAGTGTATTTATTTTGTTGACATTTTATTTAACGTATATATTATTTATGTGTGTGTGTGTGTGTGTATAGTGTTTACAGTTTATAACCATAATAATTCAATTTATTCTATTTCACTTGTTTTTTTTACTTTTACGTTTTATTTTACTTTTTAATAATTTATTTTGTTAACATTTTATTTGACTTATTTATTATTTATATATGTGTGTGTATTTATATAGTTTAGAACCATAATAGTTCTACAGTTTATTCTATTTCACTTGTTGTTGGTTTCTATTTTATTGCGCATTTTATTTAAATAGTGTATTTATTTTGTTAACATTTTATTTAACTTATTATTTATATATATATGTGTGTGTGTGTGTGTGTGTACAGAGTGTATAAAGTTTACAACCATAATAGTTCTTCAATTTATACTATTTCACTTGTTGGTTTCTATTTTATTTTACATTTTATAAAAATTATTTATTCTGTTAACATTTTATTTAACTGTTTATTATTTATGTGTATGTCTATAGGTTATAACCATAATAGTTCTTCAATTACCTTGTTTGATTCTGTTTTATTGCACTTTTTATTTAAATAGTTTATTTATTTTGTTGACATTTTATTTAACTTATTTATTATTTATATGTGTGTGTATGTATAAAGTGTATACAGGTTACAACAATAATAGTTAAATTTATTCTATTTCACTTATTGTTGGTTTCTAAATTTATTTAACATTTTATTTAATTTGTTAATTTTGTATTTATTCTGTTAATATTTAACATTTAATTTTTTAGATTTTTTATTCCATGTTCATTACTGTTTTGTTGACCATTGTTAAATAAATATTGCATTAATAAATGACTGGTCCTTGACTTTTAAGTCCACTTTGTGTCGGTTTCTGTTTGTATTTAACATTTTATTAACATTGTTTATTTATATTGTTAATACTATATTATTAATAACTAATTTATTATTTTTACATTTTCTACTCTATATTCATTACTGTTCTGTTGACAATTGTTAGATAAATAATGCATATATAAATAACTGACTACATGACTTTTTATTCCATATACACAATGCACACTATATACACACACACACACACATATATATATATATATATATATATATATATATATATATATATATATATATATATATATATATATACATACATATGTACACTGTAAAAAATTGCTGTTAAAAAAACGGTCAGATTCTACGGTAAAATAATGTTTTTTCACTAAAACAGTAATATTCTGTTAAAAACAGTGCTTTCTGGGGAACATTTTTTTTTTCGAGAAAGTAACCAACTGCAGAAAACTGTGAGCTAATAGAGTTCAGATTCGATGTTTTGAAGTTTTAAAATTACACTTTGTGTCCTTGTTCACTATTTCATACACTAGTTCACTAATATAGTTCACGTGACAGAGTTAATGAACACTAATGAGTGAATTCAGACACTGATGACCACCTGCTGTTAATAATCACAATTACTGAAGAAAAGAAACAAGAAACACAAACAGTGACTTGAGTTACAACATTAAATAAAATCAAATAAAATAAAACAGCTTCAGTCTCAGCAGAGGATCATTAAACAACTCCACAAACAACAGCAGACACACACTTATTACTGACTGATTTGACTTCCATACAATTCTCATTGAGATCCAACAGAAATTAAGGTGTTTTTTGTGTCACCGTAATGGAGTGAGGGGCTGGTTTAGTTGGGCTCTTTACCCTTGAACTTATTAATTCAAACTTTCCAATTACTATAATAAAGAGTTAACAAAGTGCTTGTATTATAGCATTAAAGTTGGAAAGTCAATAAATAGAGAATCTATTTGTCTGAAATTAGATCTGATAAATGTTTTGATATAAATCTGGAAGAAGGGCCTCATGCAATAAATTTTATGCTTAGTTGCAGGTATTAATTTAATTAATGAGAAGTGGAAACAGAAAAGATACCTCCGTAATTACTTAACAGTTAAGAAATAACATACAAAAACAGTTCAGCTATGACAAATACACACTCAGACCTCATGAATCTGACCTTGTATCTCAACAATGGTAACAATTCAAATGTTTCATGCTGCAATGCATGCTGGGAGTGACACGGTACAAATATCCCAGCATGCATTGCAGTATAAATAAATGTTGTATAATGGTCTCACAATTTTCTTTATTTGTGTTTTATTCTGCTGTTGTTTATGTTTAGACTTTCAGTTGCCTGTTTGTGAGTTAAACTGTTAATTTTGTAAGTCGTCACCAATATTGAGGTTCATATGCTGATTATTGATGTCTGTTTGAGTGTTACTTACATCATAGAGCAAAGTGTTTTTGTCCAAGAAATTCTTAAAAACTTCCAGAAATCATTGCCACAGACAGACATAAAATGTTAAACAACAGATTTAACATTGAATAGGAGCAGTAAATTTTATTATACTAAATGAGAACAGACTCTGCCATTTAATAGCAACATGAACATCACCAGATCTTATTTAGGTTTTTGATTGGCTTGCCTCAACAAAGGAGCTTTTTAAACAAAGTTCTTAACAATTGCAGCAGCCAAGATATATAAATGTTAAAAATGACAGGGCTAAGAGCCCAACTAAAGCAAACTCTGTTCTCCATGATGGTGACGTAAAACTTTAACTTTTTTCTCAAGAAGAACTTTAGTAGATGTTATACAAAAATACATGTATTAAGTAATAAGTGTAGCTGGTGATGATGTTTGCAGAGTTTTTAATCATCCGCTGATCATTTAAATGATTTAATCATTTGTTGTTCTTCAGGTTATTTCATTATAAAGCTGTGACTAAAGTTGTAGTTTTGTATGTTCTGTTCTTGTTTTCTCCCTTCAGTATTTCTTCATTTGTTCATTGTTAATCCTCAATTATCATTATCATTAGTCAGTTAATTAATTAATTTACTTCAGCTTTGCTCCATGTTTCTTGAACACTCAGTAGTGTGGACACTTCAATAAAAACTGAAGTATATGCTCTGGAGTTTAAAGGGTTAAAGGTGTGAGAGGTAAAAACACAGTGTAAAAATGTATTTTAACAGTAATATACTGTTAATTTAAACTACGGAAATAGACTGTAAAAAAACAGTAGATTGCTGGCAACCACAGCTGCCAGTAGATTACTGTTAAATCAAGGAAAAAACAGTATTTTACTGTAAAACCTGAAGCTAATTTCTTCTGTCTGTCACCGTTG